CACAGACCCAGGAGGAGTGTGTTTTAGTTGTACCTCTTCGTTCTGGTAGGCGGTGACAGCAATAAACTGAGTTTCTTTAAAGGAAACGTTGGAAACCAAACGATGAYGTGAGCCCACGCAGACGATGTGCAGCTGAGGCTCATATTTATGGAGAGAGTTCAACATAATCTGCAACAAACACAAAAATCCAGTTCAGATCCAACCCTGGTCCTAAACCCGTCTATCTGGCACTGTATGGTGACGTCATCACGGTCTGCACCGCCATGATGATGGTTTATTGACAGCGTAGTGTTAGCACACATATACGTAGTTGGTCCTGTAGATATTTGCAGACTGTGAGACCACAGAGTTTAGAGGTTTGGGTCCAGAATCTGAGTCTGGTCTAGTCCTTGGAGCAGGACACTGTGACTTTGGACTTCAGGATGGAGGCAGTTGGGGAAGTCCAGGAACGTTTAGTGATTGGCTGAGCCTAGATGAGTCTGTTTCTGGTAGCAGGTTTGTTCATGTGTAAACAGAAATCTGTTGTTGGACTGAGAGACAAGGACCCAGATGATTGGAGGACACACCTCAAACAGAGGCCCTCTGGGCTGGAACCTGAGTCCACGTCAGAAACCTTTTACTTCTTATGTTTCCCTTAAATAGTCAAGCAATCTGATGACCTCACTGAAGGGTTCAGTCGGTGGGAGACGGACCGTTCTTTTGTGAAACTAATGTCCTCCTGATGGTTTTGATTTTGTTGATGCKGGAATGTTTTCTGCTTTTATCAGAATTCACAACTATCACAAAAAGATCATCATCCAACATGAAGGATAAACACAGATCACGATTCTTTGGTGTCAGCTGAACGAGAGTCGGACCTTGCCTATAAAGGTTTAGAGTCAAATTTAACCAAAGTTCAAAGAAAATCTGGATAAGTATTAAGACCACATTAAAAGGTTACAAGAAAGCCTGGATCCCTARAAGGAAACCAGAAGAAAAAACTGGGACTTGATGAGTTTAACCTGGACTCGAGTTTGCCAGATGTTCTCACATGGAGTTGATTTATATTCTGTAAACAAAAAGTTTATGTTCTGTTTATTTTTGATTCTAATCATCTGTTTTACCTTCTATAGAAAGGAACACTTGAGAGTCCAACCAAACCCGTCTCTGGACCAGCRTCCATCAGTCCATCAGGACTTCTTCAACTTGAGCCAGAAAGTTCTCCAAACACAACTTTGCACTTTTGCATCCATTAAAAACAAAAACCTAGAGTTCATGGAGAACAGCCATCTTTGTCTTTTGGCCCAAACTCTCTTTTATCCATCTGTCTTTTCACCCCGCACCCCTCTCCAACCCCCCACTAACGAGGTCCAATTAACCAATCAGAGTCCTCCGGGCGAGCAGACAAAAACAAACAGTTTTCTATTCAGATTGAGAGGCTGGCTTCAGATGTGACCCCAGCACTGTGTGTTAGCTGGAGTGTGTGTGGGCTCGCTTTGAATATAGTTTACCTCGTCCATCTGAAGCATGATGGCAAAATTAATTTCCCAGTAAAAAACATAATTACCATAATGTACAAATAAGCTGAGCAATTATTTCATTATGGCCCAGCTCTCTGTTCCAACTCTGCATTACGGCCCGGTGTGTGCGTGTCATGTTTGGACTGGATAATGGGGTAAATATAAACAACATTACTGCCAATTTTCTTCTGTACACACTGTGTGTGCGTGCGTGTGTGTGTGTGTGTGTGTGTGTGTGTGTGTGTGTGTGTGTGTGAGAAGGCCTCCACTGAACAGCTCTCGACAGGAAGTGCATTAAACTGCTGCCGGCCAATTAAGACCTGTTTATCCCGTTCCCGTGGTTACGAGGGGGTGAACAGGTGAAGTGAAAGAGGAGAGGGACTGAAGTGGCTAATTAGAGGCGGTGGTCTCTCGCCCACTCCAGAAAAACACGGGGAGGACGGAGAGAAGCTAATGGACAGAAGAAGAAGAAGATGATGAAGGTGAAGAACAAAGACAGGAAGAAAAACAAGACGAGAAATTAAAGAAAATACATCAAACCAAAAACTATCAGAGGAAAAACATACAGGCAGAATAAAGATAAGAAAAACTGAAATATAGCAAGTAACGAAAAAAAAGTTTGTCAATATAAGAAAAAAACTATAGCCTATATACTGTGTGTATGTATATATATATATATATAAAAAAAATTCCCTTCTCACCCTCCGGGGGTGGTCTCTTTCATCCTCTGAGCTCGGGTCCTCTAC